ATCAAAAAGACCTTACCTGTCATTAGATGTGCGACACGGAGTTTGACGCGTTCTTGAAACCGTCTCTGTGATTTATACCCATTATCTGAAAAAGGACAAATGAGTTGATTGAAAAGACTTTCAAATAATCGTGACGGCATAAATAAACCCGGTTCCCTCAAAGGATTTCCATGAGTTTCTCAGTAATCTCAAAAAGAAATTAGGACGATAAACAAATGAATCTTAATCTGAGCAGAGATACATAAATCGATGCCCGGTTGGCATCGAGGGACGACTGGTTCTGGTTAGGCGGTGAATTGCCCGCCCCTTATTGATATTAAATCAATTGAACAAAAAAAAAAGACCACCAAAGGGCCGACCCCACGGTGCGGTGGCTGTCGGATGGGTGGCTCTCGCGCCTTTTATCGACTATCGACAACCCACGTCACGGGCTCCCACTGGGCAGCTCCGCTATAAGAAAGAGGAGAATTCTGCGTACTCATACAGACATACACGTACAAAGTCATACGGCCCATGTCCTTGCACACATACATACATACACATACACAACACACATATACACATATACACACAGCCCTATTTCAGTATCAATCACCCAAGAACACCCTCCTTTGATCCCTTAGCTTGTCGGCAAATTATCCGTCGACGAGGAGCCTTCAAACCGTTTCAGAAAAAGTGCAGACGACAGAAACAAGTCTTGAAGAGCTATCGTAACAAAGTATTTGAAAGCTGTAGTCGAGCAACGAAACTACCCTCGCAAAGTGAAACTGCATATTTCTGTCTTTTTGTGATTAAGGTTTGTGAACTGAGCATGAGGGCCAGGATCAATGCTCAGCATGGGAATTGGTCCTTGCATGGTCTTGAGTTCATTTCTTTGGAGTGATGCGTTACGTTTCAATGCAATCTACTTCAACGAGAAGTCATTGCAGCCTTAATCGCCCAGAACTTCTTTTTGCCAACAACTTAAAGGATGAAAGCAAGGTGTTCTTGGGTAATCGATCCTGAGATAAAATGACAATAGGATAAGTGTCAATGGAGTCGAGGTATGCCTCAATGCCATTTATATCGAGATGGGCTTGCTACGCTAGAGGACTTACCCAAAGAGGCTCTTAGTAAAGTGACAGAAAGATAATATAATAATATATAAATAACATATAGAAATATTGAACCAAAAATCAACCGCCTTTGGGCTACGGAAGTCGATTATGCCTCTTGACAGACCGATGCACTTCGATCCGCTTGTACTTTGAACTTTGAACACTCTCAGACGGTCGATATGGAACACACAGAACGACACGTAGTCGTGCAGTGCAAAAAATATTATAAAAATCTACGGAAAGGCAGGCAGCCTATCGAAAATACAGGACTACCTTTTTCTAGCCAGAATATTATACCGTTGATTAAAAAAAAGCAAACAAAACAATCAAAACGTGGCCAACTATCGAGCCACGTTGCCGGGATCGATGAGCAGCGAATGGGTGAGGAGAAGAAGCGGTGGCCGGTGAAGGTTCAAGTCCACGTTCTGCATAGATTTATGGCGACCAAACGTGAGGACTTCCTTCTTCAGGAGTATCGGATTGAACTCTGAGCGCTCAAGAGAAGTGGTAGACAACATTGCGAACACACTAAAAGTATTTTAGCGTACCGTGAATGTGTGATACAGTAACCCCCTACTACCCCACCACCCACCGCCGCGGGCTCCACCCGGGTTACCTTTCTGTTGTGTCCTATATGTGATGGGTATTTGGAGGCACTTGAATGCGTGTTCGGGTTACCGTGTAACACATTCACGGAACGATTAGACCCGTCTTGTTGCGGACACAGTCCTCTTCGTCGCTTTCCTTTGGGTGTGGTGCGTTAGGAACGAAATGGCCGCGTCGCGGTGAGAGGGGCGTCGCGCGCGAAGGAATGTAGCAGGATGCAGCAGTAGGTAAGAAATACAAGAACAAAAGTACTAATAGTAGAATTATGCATATAATGATCGCATAACAATTGAGCTGTATGAAGAATGCTAGAGCTGTAATAACGGCGAATGAGTGGTCCGCGACGGCTGCGTGCGGCGGATCGATTACCCAAAATCGTTCCTGACGCCCGTCTCCCCTTTCCTTTCCTCGCCCTCTCTATGATGTTCATCCTTTTACGCTTAGGACTGCATAGGGAACATTTTTTCTGCGTTCGCAATCGATTATTGTTTCTGTAAAGGGACTTAGTCAACCATCACCATGTTTTGGGGGAATTTCATAACTCCTGTCCCAAATTGGACCTAAGACGCTCAAATTTGGTAGAAGGACGATACAATCTTTGATGTTAGGGGTGTAACTCCGAATAACAATCCTTCCTATTCGTTCTGCAAAGAAAACTCAACATGATTTCGAAAACTCAACATGATTTCTTGTACAAAACCAGTCCACAACAATCCATCTAGCACTAATGAACTATTTAGCCATGGAACCTTGCACGAATACCAACCAACGGGAAACAAACCATGATTTTATAGCACTCGCAAATTGGAGATGGAAGGATTTATTTTGTTTTTTGATTACAATGGTATGGAAAAAAATTAATCTTGGTGACGGTCGCTAAGGGACGCGCGCGGACGCGCTGCGTTTTGGAATACGACTCAAAGACAAGATTGACAAGACGTAAAGAGAGGCATTTATGCACATTTGTTATCATCAACAGGAACGATTATAAGAACATTTACACACACTCACAAAGAATTTGCACTGTACGGAATGATAAAGCTCTTCGAAAATTTCTACTTCAATGGAAACAACGAATAGACAAAACAACGACGTCAACGACTAGAAAAATGGGCTGGCTCAACGAGAAGAAGCGGGATGGATGCGAGGAAGGACGATGGGCGATGAGGAAGATGATCAAAATGAGATGGCAGAACACAAAAACAGAAAAGGAGGGACGACGATTCTCAGGAAGGATGGGGGGTGGGTGAAGAAAGTGAAGCGGTAAAATCACAAACGAATCAGGGGTTACCGTAAACTGAAAGAATGGCGCGTGCGCATCTAAACTGGGCGATGGTGTGGGTGGGATGTGGGAGGATGGAATGTCTTCACTGCTTCCCTTCAGTAAGAGATCAACAGATATAAGTATACAATATTGTTTAGTCGTAATAGTAATGAAAGTGAGTGTTGTACTGTGGTGCTTTCAGTAGCCGTATAGTTGATTCTCACATTATCAGCACTATCATATCAAAGGATGAATTATCATGTGAAAGAATCTTAAGGCCACTAGTGGATTCGATAGCGTTCAGAGCGATCACATCAACAATCATCAATCAATCAATTAATTAATCAATCAGTCATCATAATCGAAGAAGAAGAATCAGCATCGGCAGCAGAATCGAGGCAAGGCGAGCATGCAACGGCGCCATCTTCACACCGGTCCGAATCTCCTTCATATGGGCTAATGATCGAGCCATTAGGGCCGAGTTATGGCCACCACCGTATTGGGTAGTTTCGTCAACGGTGCCAAACATCACGAGGTCCCATTTCACCAATTCAGCATCTGATACAATGTAATCGATAACATATATGTTCAAACGCAAAAATCAATAATTTCTATCGGAAGGTCTGCAGTCGATTCTTCCGATTCCTATGTTCCTACGGGGGCTCCCAAACGGCTCAGTACGGTCCAATGTAAAGGTAGGGCTAGCTGAAAGGAACTCAACCTATTCTCACAAGGCTGTTAGTAGAAAAACTCGTTCCCAAGCACATCAGTGCACAAAGGGGAGGTCCAGGGAAGTTCGTAGACCCTTGAATTTTCTACAGAGAAGTAGGCCACTCCTTTGGTCTCACAAAGACCTCCAATAACTTCCGGTTAATGCTGGAATAAGTCCCACCGATAGAGAACTTCCGCAATTGGATTGATCGTACCCACGGTTCTGTAGCATGCTTTGACGGTTAACTCGAACTAATCTGAAAGCAGCACTCACCATCCCATCCATCGTTATCGACCTCAAGCGTCCAGAGACCGGCAGCGAGCTCTCCCCAACTGTGAGTGGTCATGAAAGCCCATTCGATAAATCCTGCTCGACTAGTATCCCGTGCCCGCTTGGTCAGTAGAGTGGAACGTGTTCCTGAAAAGATTCGATTCATTCAGTATTGATACATAACCTCCCAAGCCAGACAGTACCTGAAGGACTTGTTAGGTAGATCTGTATATCGCCTCTTTTTGGCGCTTTCAAAG